CCATATGACCCAGCTATCTCACTCCTCGGTATATATTCAAGATTCAATATCAGCATACTACATGGATGCAGCTACATCAATGTTTATAGCAGCACAATTCCTAACAGCCAAGCTATGGAACCACCCTAGATGGCCCTCAACAGATGAATCAATAAAGAAAATATGGTATATACACACAATGGAGTATTACTCAGCCATAAAAAGAATGAAATTATGGCATTTAATGGTAAATAGATGAAACCGGAGACTACCTTGCTAAGTGTAATAAGCCAGTCCCCAAAAGTCAAAGATTAAATGTTTTCTGATATGTGGAAGCTAGTCCAAAATAAGGAAGGGAAAAAAGAAAGGCGAACACTTCCTACATCTTCCAAGATTAAAAATTAATCACTCCAGCCACCTTTTGGAGTTTACTAAAATACAAATCAAAGGAAAGGAATAAGCCCTAATGTCTCTTAGGTGATCCCCTTAGTTCACATTCTCTTCTATCCAGATTCCAAGGACTTGCCTGTTTCAAGCTGCTGCCACTTACTCTATCCACTGAGGTTCTTCACCTCCAGGACTGGCTAAATAAGACAATGAAATATGTTCTGCTAAATCAGCCTTTCTTCCTCATCCATTTTTCTTTGCCTCTTACAGATAAGCTCACAAGCCCTTTTCATCTTAAAAAGATTTCCTGCTTAATAACAGATGTGGAAGGGTACAAAGATTCAGAAGAGGTCTTTTGCCCCTAGTCTAGAGCAAGCTCAATTTTTTCTAAGAACTATAATTAGAATGTTCTAATCCCTGTCTAAAGGGCCGTATGGGAAAACAGAATGAACTGGGACATGGAACCAGTTTGGGTTCTCATCTCAGTACCACTACTTACTATTCAACATCAGGGAAATTACCTCACCATGCCTCAAGACCAGTGGTGATGGCAGTAACTACTTTAAAGACAGTTATATAAAATAAAGAAGATGCAGGTAAAATACTTATCATATTGCCTGCTATGTGGTAAGTTCCATAATAAATACTAGCTATGAACTGTTTTTATCATCTAGCATCTCTCTCACCCTATTAAGTTATACATCACTGTATCCTGGTTAGCTTCATTAGATAGGGTACCCCTGATTAGCACGCAGCTTTCCACATGACACTCAACATTTAAGATGTTCCAAGGCAATATGTACTGACCTGGGGATCCAAAGCTTTTCCCTAACTGTACAAATGATCTCAAGTTACTTTGCATCATATTCTACCTTGACCCAGTTTCACTCCCCATTTCCTCCTGGGTCCTATAGAGCAACTCTTGGCATTGAAATCTCTGCTTTAGCCATTAAAACGAAATAAAAAGAAATATAGTTTTATTTTTTCTTCAGGTACTAGGAATTGAACCCAGGGCCTTGTACATGCTAGGAAAGTGCTCTACCACTGAACTACATCCCCAGCCCTCACCCCTTTTCTGGAGACAGGGTCTGAGTTGCTCAGGATGATCTAGAACTTGCAATCCTCCTACCTTCGCTCCTGAGTAGCTGGGATTAATGTGCCACTGTGCTCAGCTAAGAAATCTAGCTTTTAAAACCCTACTTTAAACTGTGTCTTTACATCCATATGCTCTCATCTTTAAAAAGGTACAAATATACGGGCTGGGTTGTGGCTCAGCGGTAGAGCGCTTGCCTAGCACGTACGAGGCCCTGGGTTCGATCCTCAGCACCACATATAAATAAACCAAATAAAACTATTAAAAAAAAAAAAGGTACAAATACGGGGCTGGGGTTGTGGCTCAGCAGTAGAGCACTCACCTAGCACAGGCGAGGGCCTGGGTTTGATCCTCAACACCACATAAAAATAAATAAATAATTAAAGATATTGTGTCCAACTACATTTAAAAAATAAATATTAAAAAATATATATAAACACAAGAATTTTAAAAGGATCTGTACGCATCACTGGGACAACTCCAGTAATGCTCAATTGCATACTTTAGTACAAGCTTGAAGTGTAAATTTGCTTTCCTTCTGGACCACAGAAAGTTTAAGATTGGCAATTGAGTCTGAAGTCAAACAAGACACCTCTTAGAAGCTATACCAATCTATTCCTACACAGGAAATCATTAATTCCCACTACCTGATCTGAAGTCTTATGATTACTTTCAAAAGCATTGGGAAGCAGGGACAGTACTGGGAATTGAACCCAGGGACACTCTACCATTGAGCTACATCCCATCCCTTTTTATTTTTTATTTTGAGACAAGGTCTCACCAAGTTGCCAAGGCTGTTCTTGAATTTGTGATCCTCCTGTCTCAACCTCACAAATCACTGAGATTTCAGGAGTGCTACCATAAGCATTTTGAGATAACCATAAAATAAAAATCAAAGAAAAAAGTTCATATTCCTCACTTGTGTATTTCGCTTTCTGAAATCAGATTAGACGAACCCAATTTCCACCATATGATAACAGGACCTTTATTTACCAATAATGAAAGAATGACATAGGCCAGGCATGGTGGTGCACACCTTAATCCCAGCAATTCAGGAGGATGAGGCAGGAGGATCCCAAGTTCAAAGCCAGCCTCAGCAACTTTGCAAAGTCCTAAGCAACTCAGCAAGACCTTGTCTCTAAATAAAATATAAAAAGGGCTGGGGATTTGGCTCATTGGTTAAGCACCCCTGTGCTCAATTCCCAGTACAGGAAGGAAGGAAGGAAGGAAGGAAGGAAGGAAAACTGACACAATGAAAGGCACAGAAATGGTACTTTAGCAAAATTCCAGTTTGACATCTGCCTCTACAGATTAAAAGTCTCAAAATGTTACATCTTATCAATCCACTAATTGTTGAGAAACTACCAAATGTTCCATTTTACACTGGATGCTATGAAGAACATGAGACTTCAGTGAGCTTATAAAGTGTTTATGGAATTTAGAAGTTCTGATTACTACTATAGTATGAAGACGGCTAGACCTGAAAGAGGGCTTGGTAAACCCAATGGGATTCTGTACCCTGCACCATAGACACTAACAAATTACAATGCATAGATCAAGATTTTTTTTTTTAAGTCATGGTTCTTTCACTTATCACTTTAAGATAACTAAGTCACTTGATATTCAGTCTCCATATGAAGTAATTCCTATACATATAAACAGTTCAGAAATAATTTCATGTAGAGAGTAAAAATACAATCAAACCTAATAAGGATCTGTAAATTCTGCTGAGAATCCAAGTCTACAGAACATGGTATGGACTCCCTCTGCTGGTGTCTAATAGCAACAGTTCCATGACATCAACAAAACTGTTGTCAAAACAGCAATAAAAAAAAATAATGGCTAATCTAAATTCACTTCTCTTTATATTAGAGATATTTCATACTAGATTTCACTATGGACCAATAAAGGTAACACTAAAAATTGTTATATTTTTACTGCAACTGCTAAAAAGAAAAGTAATTAGCAAATTGTAAGTCTTGACTCTTTGTTATTAGAACAAAAGGAAAATTTAATATTTATTTTCATTTTGACTGCTCTGTATGATTTTTAGCAACTTTTTTGGGGGGAGGGGTGCTGGGATCAAATTCAATTTAAATTAGTTTATTATGCACCCTTACCACTTAATTTTAAAAAGAAGAGGTCAAAGACCATAAGGAAATGTTAACCTGTACTTAGTCCATAAGGCACACAAATCACATGAGATATCTGAAAAAACAGAAACCTATTAGTCAGTTACAGCTGTTACCATAGCTATCTTTTTATAATGGCAATAAAAAAAAAAAATGAAAAGGCAAGCAAGACTAGGAGGAAATATTAGCAAAACACTTATCTGATCATGGACTTGCATCTAGACTCAAACAAAACAAAACAAATGAAAAAAAAAAAAAACTTTAGAATAAAAATAAATAACCCAATATTTAAAAAATAAGCAAAAGAGTTGAACAAATACTTCACAAAGGAAGATTTACGACGTTCAAAAAGTATGAAAAATTGCTCACATGTGTCATCAGGGATATGCAAGTTAATACCACAATGAGATAGTCAATTCACACATTACAAAGTAGCTAAAATTAAAGAGATTGACAATGCTAAATGTAGAGCAACCAGAACTCTCCCAGGTGCTAGAAGAAATATAACATGGTACAACCTTTGGAAAAGGATTTGGCACTAACATACACTCAGCTGATCTGTTTCTAGATATTTATCCAAGAGAAATAAAACATTTGACTACAAAAAGGCTTGTACAGCAGTTTATTCACAAGAGCCAAAACTGAGACAATCCAAAAGCCTATAAACAATGAAGGAATAAACTGTGATGTATTCATCAAATGAAATAATACTTCACAAAACAATGAACTATGATCCACCCACACTATGCATGAATCTCATTGTATAGTGAAAGCAGCTGGACATGAATGAATATACTTTATATGACTCCATCTCTATGAAGGTTGAAGTAAGATAAAAAACTAAGATTAAAAAGAAAACAGATTCCAAAAGACACAAGTAATAAAAAAAAGTATGAAGGGTCAAACATACATAATAGTAAAACAGAGTTCAAACTTGACAGGAAAACAGGCCTACTTCAAGTTTTTAATCAGAAAACTATTTACAAACTTTGTACAGACTAAATGTTATTTTTATTAAACATTTAAACACAAAAACTTCATGATAGTACCACGTATCTAACTTGATTGATTGTATGAAAGTTTTTAGAACAATGAAGATAAAAGCATGATGACAATATAGCTTTAAAAGTGATTCTGATTTCAAGAAAAAACAAGAGAATGCAGGTGTCAGAGGAGTACAAATGTTCAGTGTGAGTATTCTTAACATTAAAATACAGGATTAATCACATTAAAGATGCTATATATCTGCTATAATGTTGAACTAATTTCAAATTTGGGATTTCACTTTGCTATTCACTTTAAAATTCTGGCTACAGTAATTGTCCTATTCTAAATTTCCTCTAATTCAAATACATTTAACATATGTGGAAAAAGTTCCTAGTAATAACAGAAATTCCAGCATGTATTACCTTGTCCTGAAGGATTTGCTGCCATCTTCCTGTTTCAATTATATTCAGAGGCAACAGATTAGCACTTTATATTCACCTGTAAAAACATACGTGCATGCATATAAAATACACCATACTTTAACTGCAAATTAAAAGCTGTTAAGAACAGTTAGCCTATTTGCAGTTTCTCATTCTTTTCAAAAACATAAATTTGAAAAGCATAGACTTAAATCACAAATTTAAATTCTGCAAGTACCTCAAGCATTTAATTAAATAGAATGTTTTTTCTTGAAGATGTTAATACCAACATTCAGCATTACTTTAATATACATCATTAGTTTGTATTTACCAAATATTACCAATTATATCAACCAGTTTATGGCATCCATATGATAACAGCCCTAGAAAGAAAAAAAAAAAAAAACCATTCATCCATTTAAAATATATCCAGCAACAACTGGGTGCACTGAAAACTAAAAGAAAAAGAAGCCAGGTATGGTGGCCCACGCCTGTAATCCCATCCACTCAGGAGGCTGAGGCAGGAGGATCTCAAGTTCAGAGTCAGCCTCAGCAAACTGGCAAGACCCTATCTCAAAATAAAATAAATAAATAGGGATGTGGATGTAGCTCAGTGGTAAAGCACCCCCAAGGTTCAAGAGAGAGGAAGAAGAAAGGATAAATGAACCTAACATTTATCAAGTAACTGCTCTGCACCATACACTGTGTACAATGCTTGAAACTAGTTTCTATTTATTTATGACTATTTTGTAGGTGTGGAGTACTATTTTCACAAAACTAGTGAGAATGCTTTGGGCTGCTGGCTTTCCCAGCTTCGCGTTTTTGTACTAGGTCCTGGGGAGATCCCAAGATAAACAAGACCCTACACCTACCCTCAAGGAACCCTGAATCCGGGGTGGGGGTGAGGGGAAATGGTGTTATTCGAGCAGCCACACCAACAAAGCGGAACAAACGCGCTCTTCAGAAGGTGTGAACACGTGATGCGCTGAGACGCGATGCCTGATGCCTTCAGGAGAACCGTGAATGAAAAGGACTGGAAAACACGTGCTGTTTTTTCATAAACGAATCTCCGGGTGCCTCCTGCGGCAGAAGCAGAGGGCGAGCCAGCTAGGTTAGGACAGGAGAGCAAGAGGGCCATTGGAGAAAGGGAACGTTAAGCGCAAGGACAAGAGGGCTGGACTGGCGTCTCGGGAGAGTCCCTGTCCGCAGGCGTGGAGGACGGGCTGGACGAGAAAGTAAACAGGGCGCGGGAACCTTGGGAGGGGAGGTTGGAGGGGAGGCCGCGGCCCTGCGGCAACAAAGATGGCAGCAAGCCGGGCGGTGTGGGCACGCCTGGAGCCCCGGCTACTCCGGAGACGGAGGCCCAGGATCCCAAGTTCGAGGCCAGCCTCAGCAACTCGGCGAGACCCAGCCTCAAAAACAAAAACGGGGGGGGGGGGGGCGGGTACTGGGGCTCAGCGGCAAAGCGCCTCTGGGTTCACTCCTCAGCGCCAACCACCCGCACGAAGACAGCAACAGCAGATCAGCGCCGGCCTCCCGCTGCATTTCCCGGTGCCTCCAGGCTGTCCTACTTACCCAAGCGCCTGGGCGCTGGGGAGGCCTCGCTGCGGGTCGCAGCTGTCAAGGTGGAACACACCACCTAGAGAGGCAAAACCTCCTCAGTGTGCCGAACTACAACCTTCCCGCCCCCGCCACGCTTCCGCCTCCTGACTGACGTGCGCCAGGGAAACGGAAGTCCCGCCTCCCGCATGGACACAACGGACACCGCCCACAGCCTCAATACAGATTTGCTTCCTTTCGGAAGAGTGACAGCCGAAGAGGCTCATGGGAGACGCAGGAGGTACTGTTTGGAGGTGGGGCCCAAGTGGGGGCGGGACCAAGGCGGAGACTGCTAAGCAGAGGCGGAGCGGGGAATAGAAGAGTCCCTAGCACCGAAATTGAGTTATTTGTCCTGGCAGTTCCAGGGAAAGAAACCCTCCGTCTAGCAGGTCTTGGCCACCAAGTGAATCCATTTCAGCTGAGCCTCAGAGGCAGTCTAGACTAGCTTTCAAGCCTTAACAACCATGTCGGGTTGCGGGTCCAAACACACACAAATCCCAGGGATATTTCACGTCTAGTTTGCATATTCAGAAGGAAAGCACGGAACAGGTAGAAGTTTTTACTGCTGTGCAATAAATTGTATTTTAAGTTCATGTGCCATATCTCAAAATACCAAGACACTACTAGTAGGATCACCTGATGCTTCATTCTAGCATAATAGATTGAACAAGCATCAATTATTAATCCATTTACCTTATAAAGAAATTTGCACTGATATGAGTCAACTATTAGCTGATTGATTCCATTTTGCACCTTTTCTACTTGAACATATTTTTGTTTGTTGCTATTATTTTGCGGTACTAGGGACTGAATCCAAGGGTACTCTACCTCTGGGCTACATCCCCAGCCCTTTTTATTTTGAGACAGGTCTTCCTAAATTTCCCAGGTTAGCCTAGAACTTGCAATCCATCCCCTTCAGGCTTCCCAGTTGCTGGGATTACAGTTGTGCACCATAGTGCCCTGCTGAATTTGTTTTTAATAATTGATGCTTGCTCAAAAATAAATGTTTATGATGCACAATTTTGTTGTGCATGAATCCATGATGGAAACAATAATTTCAATACCAAGAATTCCATACTCCACAGCATGCAATTATTGACTGCCTTCTATGTGCTGGGTACTTGCTGTGCATCAGCACATTCCCTGATTTGTGTATGAGACTTGGAATATTGAGTTACTTTATGTTAAGTAGTAAGGGCAAAGGTGACCCAGGTGCTAAATCCCAAATTCTTAAATCTTCTGCTCTGGAGGGAGGAATTCCTTTGAAACCAGCTCTTGTTGATCAAGCACAACACAAAAGCATTTTGGTGAAGAGAACTTTTCAGTCTCTCCTATAATCTGATGAGGAAATACAGTCTTATTCAAGCCAAAAAAGTTCAATGAAAGCTTTCAGTTAAAAGCCCTTGTGAGAAGCTGGGGTTGTGGCTCAGTGGTAGAGCACTCACCTAGCATGTGCAAGGCCCTGGGTTCGATCCTCAGCACCACATAAAAATAAATAAAATAAAGGTATTGTGTCCAACTACAACTAAAAAATAAATATTAAAAAAAAGACCTTATGAGGGCTGGGGATGTAGTACATGCTAGAATACTTAAATGCATTGAGGTCCCAAGTTCAATCCCCAGCACCACACACACAAAAAAAGGACCTTTGTGAGTATGGATGTGACTAAAAGGATAACCAAGGTCTTAAAATCTCCGTGGCTAATAGAACATTAGGAGAATTTGCTTTGCTGCCTGAATAGATAATATAGAAACTAAAGTATAGAAACTCTAGTGTAAGTCTCAAATAGGGAAACAATGTTTAAAGAGATGAAAACGCTGACTTCCTTGATTTGATCATTTATTACCCTGTACAACCTAAATATGTACAATTAAAATGATAATAAATACAAATAAGTCCCAAGTGAACATTCTAAACAAAGCTTATTTAAGGAGGTGAAAGGAAAAGTTCTACCACAAGAACATTTTGCAACTTCCTTCCCAGGGACAGGAGAAGTTAACAGAAAGATAAATTTAACTTGCTGATAATTCTTTTGCCTTTACTTGAAGGGTATTGGTCCTTGAAACTCCTCTGACTTCTCCTTAAGAGTTTTGGGGAACTTCTGCCATATAACATTTCAATTTCCAGTTTTGACAGTTAATGATTGTTGTGAGGCCTGGTTTAAACCTTTGCCTGGTTTAAACCTGTCATCTATAAAGTGGGAATAAAATGAATGAATACAATATATAAAGCACTTAGCATATCACCTAACAGAGTAAATACTCAGTAAATATTGTCTATTAGTATTATTGTAATGAAAGATCTGTGCTTTATTGGATATCCTACTACTTGGTCAATAGGTCAGCTGATCCACATGGAGCCTACATACATATCAGAAAAAAATTCAAGACAAGAAGAGGGCAAATGACAGTCCCATGGCTGAAACATTAATGTCAGATAGCAGTGTGTAAATTGCTTCATCCTGAAACCATGTGGTTACAGACCTCCATTATCAAAGGAAATAGTTGACAATAGTCCTCAGTTTCTAACTGAAACCATCCTAACCCTGTTTGGCATTTTGTGATAAAATATTCATGGGAACTGTATCAGGCCAGACAGCTTTTAAAATCAAGTGTGTAGGGTTGGGACTGTAGCTCAGTGGCACAGCACTTGCCTAGCATGTATGAGGCACTGGGTTCAATTCTCAGCACCACATAAAAATAAACAAATAAAGGTATTCTATCCACTTACAACTACAAAAAAAAAAAAATTTTTTTTTAATTCAAGTGTGTAGATATTTGTGTAGATGTTTGAGACAGTTACTGTTGTTACTCATCACTTTGTAACAAATTACCCTGAAACATGGCAATTTAAAATAATATATATTTATTATCTTGTAGTTTCTGAGGAGCAGGGATCCAGGAGGTGTAGACGGATGATCATGGCTTTGGCTTGGGCTTTGTGCCCAGGTTACAGTCAAGGTACTGACTGGGGCTATCATCATTTCAAAGCTTGACTGGAAGGGACGGATCTGCTTGCAAATTCACTTGGATGGCTAATGGCAAAAGGCTTCAATTCTGAACCATAAAGTTCTTTCCATAGAAAATAACTTGGTTTTTTTCTTGTTCGTGGTTTCATAGTACAGCATGCCTGGGTTCAATCCCCAGTACAGCAAGGGGGAAAAACATAAAGGAAGAAAGGCCTAGCCAAGACAAAAGCCATAGTCTTTTATGAATGTGCCAGTAGATGGCAGCAAAGAGATGACAGGGTGGTGTAAGCGGATTCATCTGTATCTGTAAAGGATTGGGGTTTTTAATTTCAGTGGGGCTATGGAAGCCTAATAGTTTGGAATTGATAGATAGTGTGGGTAGTAGGAATACTGGCTCTCCCTTCCCCAGCCCACACCTTGATATGTGTGGTTGCAAATGAGTATTTTCAACTTTACAGGAGTACAAGGAAAGATACCCTTAAGAAGTGGGTTTTAGTTAAATCAGGAGGTAGGTGGTTTGATGGTTCTGTGAAGGGGAACTTGTTTACCATGGAAGGAAAACTTTTAAAAACTATAGGGGAAATCATTTTCTTATATTGAATCCTTACTCTCTGCTAGGACTCCACATGCTTTCTCTCAAGACCAGCCTTTAAGAAGGATTCAATTGCTGGGTACAGTGGTACATGCCTGTGAGAAACTGATGTCACTCCATTTTTGAGAAACCAGCCTTTATCTCAGAGCAAGGCCTGTCCAAGGAAGGGGATGTGACCCTTGTCCTAGGAAAAACCCACAGAGCACTCCTGGGCACATACTCACCCTGCTGAGTTGTTTGTCTACCAATAGCAGGAGAGGTCTGCGGTGCCAGGTGTCCCTGACTCAGTCAGGCTAGGTGAAGACCCATAGCAACCCCCTAGCAACCTCCAATCAGCATGAGACAGGGAAAATACCTGGGATGCCAGATGACCCCCCAGTAGTTTATGGTGTTGATAACGTGTTGGGAAACCATGTAGTTCAGCACGTACTCCCCTCGTGGCTTAAACCAATCAGTTCAAAGGAATCCCCCTCTTGTACTAACCAATCACCCCTACCCAACTTGTTCCAGCTAGTGAATGTGCTAATCAATGTTAAGAGTTGTTGTTGTTTGACTTTCCCGCAGTATGGAATGATTTGCTGTGTGATGTTGTGACACATACAGTATCCCCCCAAAACCTATAAAATTTCACTGAACAAAGACTGGACTCACTCCCTGGGACTGCTGCATCGGGAACCGGGAACCGTTGTGAGTCCAGGCTTGAGCTTGCAATAAAGACTCTTGTGTGATTGCATCGGATTCAGTTCTTGGAGGTCTATTGGGGTCCCACCAATCTGGCATTACACCTGTAAACCCAGCAGCTCGGGAGGCTGAGGCAAGAGGATTGAGAGTTCAAAGTCAGCCTCAGTAAAAGCGAGGCGCTAAGCAACTCAGTGAAGCCCTGTCTCTAAATAAAATACAAAATAGGGCTAGGGTTATAGCTCAGTATTTGAGTGCCCCTGAGTTCAATCTCTGGTATACTCCCCCAACAAAAAAGAGGGGTACAATTATCATCTTTCCCTCCTTTTTTTTGGGGGGGGGGATATTGGGGATTGAACCCAGGAGCCCTTTATCATTGAGCTACATCCCCAGCCTATTTATTTATTTATTTATTTACTCACTAAGACAGGGTCTCCCTAAGTTGCTGAGACTGGCCTCAAACTTACGATCCTCCAACCTCAGCCTCCTGAGTTGCTGGGATTATAGGTGTGCACCACCATGCCTGGCTAGACTCTTCCAATTTTAAACATGTGGAGATATTGAGCCTTTGAGAAATAAAGTAGCTTTTTCATGATGTCATCATTTTTTGTTTACAACAGTGACCTGAACCACTAAGTGAATCTGTGTTTATAACCATGGTTGTAAATGATAAGAATGTGAAACACAGTCATATGCTGCCAGCTGGTGCAGACAGAGTCTCCTTGCGTAGTTCAGGACCAGGTCTCAGTTTGCAGGCCAGGTCTATGTGGCCCAGACAGTAAGACATTAATACCAACCCTGCCTCCTTAGATGGTATAGGACAGGAGGTCCACAAGAGTGGATAAAGCTTAGATTAGAA